TCTTACTGTATATGTGACCTGGGTTGCTCAAAATTTTGCCTAGGATTTATTCCCCAAGTGTCTTGCACACCTTTGGCATGGTTTGAAATGCGTTCTTTCAAATGATAGCATGGCTTTTTGTAAAGGCAGGCTTCTGCAGCTGTGGCTTAGAATGTCATCAAGGCAGGTAGGCAGCATTTCCAACCCAGCTGTTTTTGAGATTGCCTAAGAATTTGTGCAGCCACAACCACAAGGAGAAAATAGTAAACGTAGAATAAAGGCCATGCTTACTTGAAAAATAATGGGTAAGCAAAAATGATATATTATGTAAAAAATGCAAGGAAGTGCATCTGCAATGCACGGTGCACAGTAATCTCCTTTGGATATTGCAAGGGTTATGTTACTATTGAAATGTGTTTTTAAGGCTAGAATTGGTGCCTCGTGAATGGCTCCCTGATTTCATAGAGGCAGAAGAGGGGCAGAAGCAGCAGTTTTTCCCGCGGAAGCTGCACGCCTCGGATGGCCAGACAGGCTGAGCCTTGGGCAGCCCGCTGGCCGTGGGCGTCCCCTCCCTCTCCGGCCACGTCATATGCGCGGCAGGCTGGTGGGTGGGAAGATTTTAAAAAATTCAGAAAGTTTTATACTCAAAGTGGTGAAAGTCGGTAATACTTTACATTCATTTTGTTGATCCATTACTCCAGAATAGCCAAATAAGTTAATATTTATTTTTTCAGCATTTTAGCAATTGCAAATATTTTTTTCCAACATATAATAAAATTCTTAAGAAAACTTGCTCTCTTAGCAAATTTTTCCCTTTCAGCTCATACTTTTAGAATAAGCCTACATTTAAGATGAGAGCAGAAGCGTGTGATTCATAAGTATTATACAATCCCACATGCTCTTTCCTTAGAAATACTGTCGCCAAATATAACAATTGAACGTTGTTTTGTAGTGTATCCTCACTGCTGTCAGTCTCCTGTGGGATCCACTGCAGATTTAGAGAGGCGTTTTACTCTACAGTAAATATAAATCTCTTTTTCTGGGTTTTATGGTTAAATTAGCACTTGTGTTTTCCAATTCTTTTTCAGGATAGGCAGAGATATTTTAAGTATATGTTTATCAGATTGTTCACAATTGAAAATGCGAAGTTTCTCTGAGCGACTGCTAGCAAAGCCCCGAGCTCTGCCTGCAACTCTGCCTGCAGCTCTGCCTGCAGCTCTGCCTGCTGGTGGGGTTACACAGCAGCACTCAGGAGGTGATGGTGGCAGGGCGAGTGGGGGGAAGTTAATTGGGATACTTACCTCTTCAAAGAAAGCGTTGCTTAGTGTAGTAATAGGTTAAAAAGCAAGACAGCATCTTGAGTTGCGCTTGCTTAATTAGAAAGGTGTGAACACCGAAGCGGGCATATGTTCGTAGTGGGACTGTTTGCAGTTTTCACAGGAGCTGTGTAATTAGGAGAGGGAAAAAGCCTGACTTGGCTTTGTGACTCCTGTGAGACTCAGCCTGCTCGCTCATGCACTGCCGGTCCCGCAGGTACTCCTTCCAGGACGAGGAGGACATGTTCATGGTGGTGGACTTGCTTCTCGGTGGTGACCTGCGCTATCACCTGCAGCAAAACGTTCAGTTTACGGAAGAAATGGTCAAACTTTACATCTGTGAGATGGCGCTGGCTCTCGACTACCTACGAAGTCAGCATATTATCCACAGGTAACCACACAGTCTCTTCCTCGCAATCGGTAGCCAGTGGGAGCTGCCCGTGCACCGTGCTGCCCATGGCTGGTTTGGGGTGGGCGATGCTGCCTCTGCTGCACTGAGGCCCTTAACCCCATCGGTACCTCCAAGTCGGGGAACTGCCGGCATTAAACCGCACCAGCAGTGCCAGTCCTGGGTGCCCTCCAGCTGCTGGTCCTGCTCCCCGTCACTCAGAGGAAGCCTCACACTTCGCTGGGGGGCTGAAAGCGCCTTCCGGGCTGGGTTTCAAAGCGATCTCACAGAAATAGGCCCAGTCTTGTGTTATTAATTTTCCGTAGAAATGATGCCCGAACAAATCAGATGCTCCCACTTTTTTGCACAGTTGCCCAGGAAAAACATTTCTAGTCCATCGTAAAGGGACTTGTCTCATGTTAGGGTATTTTTGTTTTATTTGTTTCTAATTTTTGATAGATAAAGTTGCAGGTTTTTTGTTGTTGAGTTGCATCCTTGATCTGACTGAGATTTCATCTTGCTGTAACCTTGCTTCTTTTCCCAGAGATGTAAAACCAGACAACATCCTCCTCGATGAGCAAGGTAGGATATCTCTGCCTTGCTTTGTCTGCCTCCTTCACTCGAGGGACAGATTCTTTATAGTCTTGAATACTCTGCATCTTTTTATCTGGGGAAAGTGTGGAAAAGGCACCACTCCTTCTAATTGATTGGTGTTTGGCCAGACCTACCTGTGCATTGTAATGCCAGGGAAGATCCACCAAGGGAAGCCCCTCTCCTCGTTACCCCCATCTTGCTTCGCCCACACTCTACCTCCTTTCTCGCTAGCGCCCCAGTGCACAGGTCACCCATGCCAGAGATGCGGTACCTGGCATCGTGGGAGGGCACAAAGCACAAGAACTGTCTTTGTTGAGTTTTAGAGTGAGTGACCTGCACATCCGCTTTTAGAATAGTTTTGATGTCTTCCTGGGGGGATGGATCTGGGCTGAGCCAGGTAGAGTGAGCTCAGGAACTTTAATGACTATCTGAATAACTCTCTTCAATGAGAGCTTCTATTGGTAATATTCTCTTAGTGGCCTACACAGAAGAAATACCAGAGGAGATCCTATAATGACCTCTATTCCAGTAGCAGATCTTATAAAATGAAGACGCAATCTCTCAGGCTCCAAACCATCTGAGTTTTATCATAAAGCCTCATAAAACCCAAAGCTTGCACTTGCATGGAAGTTCATTAGAAAACAGCGAAGGGTATAAAGCCCAGACACAAATGGAAAAAAGGAGATGTAAGGGAAGACTTCATAGGACAAGGCAGCCTGTGATTTACACACCATTTTCATAGCTGCCTAGTAGATAAGAGAGCAGAAAGTAGCCTCCAGAAGGGGAAGTGGGTGAGTATTCTGTGTACCAGGCTAGCTTGAAAATAAGAGGGGCGGCGGCAGTTTAAAACCCGGTTTAAAACCCGGTGTACCCGCCATTTCAGCGAAGCCACCGAGGCGAAGGGCTCCGAAGCGGAGGATCGCGCCGGGGGACCCTTCCTGAGGCGGCAAAACC